TCGATTAATACACCGACTGCGACTGAGTCAACTAGTGAAAATAACAGCAATATGCCAGATCCACAAATCGAGTCGACTACAAAAGCAGTTTGTCCAAATGAATGGAGAAGCGATCCTGAATATCCTCAAAAATTCATTATAGGAGATCCAAACGAAGGAATGAAAACTAGGGCAGCTCTCAAAAAGAAAGCAAATATCGGTTTGATCTCTCAAATTGAGCCAAAAAAGATAGAGGAAGCACTGAAAGATTCAAGCTAGGTGCAAGCCATGCAAGAGGAGTTAGATCAGTTCAGCAAGAATCAAGTGTGGAAACTAATACCCAAACCTGATAATGTGTCTGTAATCGGAACAAAGTGGGTGTTTAGGAACAAATTGAACGAAGATGGAAAGGTCATAAGAAATAAAGCCAGACTAGTTGCTCAGGGCTACTCACAACAAGAATGAGTCGACTATGATGAAACTTTCACCCCAGTAGCTCGTTTGGAATCTATACGAATTCTTTTGGCATACGCATCTTTAAAAGGTTTCAGGCTGTTCCAAATGGATGTTAAAAGCGCTTTTTTAAATGGATTCGTTGATGAAGAAGTATTTGTGAAACAACCTCCAGGCTTTGAAGATTCAAAATTCCCATACCATATATACAAGCTCACTAAAGCACTGTATGGGTTGAAACAAGCTCCACGTGCCTGGTATGAGAGGCTAAGTACCTTTCTTGTTGATTATGGCTTTATAAGAGGTATAATTGATACTACCCTGTTTATTAAACGATCATCAGAAGGTAACCTCATTATTCAAATTTATGTTAATGACATTATATTTGGTAGTGCTAACCCTCTTATGTGCAAGGAATTTTCAAATCTTATGCAAAGCGAATTTAAAATGAGTATGATGGGTGAGCTCACATTCTTCCTTGGGCTACAAATTCAACAATCTGAAGAAGGATCCTTCATATGTCAGACCAAATACACAAAAGATCCGATTCAAAAATTTGGTATGAGCAATGCAAAATCAATTGGCACTCCAATGAGCCCCTCTACGAATCTAGACAAAGATGAACAGGGCACTCTTGTTGATGAAATCAAATATCGTGGAATGATTGGATCACTACTGTATCTGACAGCACGTCGACCAGACATCATGTTCAGTGTATGTAAATGTGCCAGGTTTCAGTCAGCTCCCAATGAGTCACATTTGACTATTGTAAAGAGAATCATTCGATATCTCATTGGAACTGTATCTCATGGATTATGGTATCCTCACTCTAACTCTTTTAAATTAGAAGGTTTTTCAGATGCTGACCTTGCAGGTGATAAAGAGGACAGAAAAAGCACAAGCGGTACATGCCAATTACTAGGAAAGGCATTAATATCCTGGAATAGTAAAAAGCAAGCATCAGACGCATTGTCCACTACGGAAGCTGAATAGATTGCTATTGGACAATGTTGCGCACAACTACTATGGATGTCTCATCACTTGGGTGACTATGAACTTTCGTTTAAGCCTATACAAATTTTTTGTGACAATTCTAGTGCTATTTGTCTTTCGAAAAATCCTGTGTATCATTCTAGAGCAAAGCATATAGATATTAAGCATCATTTCATTAGAGATCATGTTCTTAAGTGAGACATAGAAATATCTTTTGTTGGAACTTCTGCTCAACTAGCTGATATTTTTACTAAGCCTTTATTAGAAGAGAGATTTTGTACTTTAAGAAATTTACTTGGTATTATTTGCACTTCTAATAACTCTTAGGACCTATGTGCTCAGTTAATTTTATTTGCTATAATTGTCCTTTTTCCATGCTTTAATTACGCCTCCGTTTTTTGCCTCTCTTTTCACTTCTTTCACATCAGTTTGCAGTTCGAAGATTGAAAGCCAATCATCACGTCTTCTCAACTGACAACTTTTCCTTTCCCGTACTCAACCGTCAAAACCCCCTTCTTAAGACAGAAAACTCCTTCAATCACTCTCATCTCCATCTCTTCTCCAAAAGTTTCAATCAAAGCTCCTTCTCTACCATGGTGAAACACTCCAAAAATCCCTCTGTTTCCACCAGAAAGAGCACCCGTTCCAGAGCAAAACCCCTTTCTCCGCCCCCTGAACAAGTAGACCTAGGTCTGATCACTCTGAAGGCTTCGCCTCATCTCAGGGAGATTTTTCTGAACACTCACAACTTCTAGAAGAAAGGCTTTAGGCAAGCGACCCATGGAAGAACCCCCTATTTCGTCCACTCCAAAGAAATCAAAGGTTGATTTCTCTATCTCTCTTGAATCTGACCTAAATTTCTGGGATTCCCCAAATAGGGATTTTTTTATTGCTCTAAAAGACAAGCCCATTGCTCATGGAAGGGTTGTAGATCTTGATGACATGGAAGCCCTAAATTGTAAGGTCAAAGAACTTTTTCGTTTATCAAGGGTGGACAAAGTTCTTCTCTATTCTTCCGCATAAGGTATATGAACCCCTGGTCAAAATGTTTTATGCAAATCTTCGTTCTAGTAAACCTGATAGGTTGGAATCTCTAGTTCTAGGTAAGCGCATTGTTCTTGATTGTGCCCTGTTTGACTCACTTTTTCAGTGTCGTTGTTCTGGTTTTCCTACTTTGTTTAAAAACATCTGGCCTGATGATTTCGAAATTACTTTTGACCAAGCCAAACCGTGTATTGCTGAGTGTCCCTCTGAATCCCTTCCAAACCAACTAGGTCCTAGTGATGTTAGTTTCGAAACTGGGGTTCTGGCCCACATTGTGGCAACCACTTTGCTTTCTCGTACTGGCTCCTTTTCAACCTTCTCTCAAAGAGATACATTCTTTGTCTATTGCCTTGTAACCAAACTCAAAATCAAGCTTTCCTCCTGGGTTATCAATTTCATGATCGAGAGTGCTGAAGATCCCACTAGTCTACCCTATGGCATGACAATCACTCATATTCTGGAAGCCCATCAAATTTCCCTGTCCAACTATCCTTTCATCACTATCTCCAAGTCCTACAATTCTAGAGCCTTTGCTAGTATGGGCTATATGAATATCAAGGGCTCCTGGGTTAAGAAGAGCGAGAGTGAAGCAAAGCAGGCCCCTGTAGAACCCAAACCTTCACCCTCTGTTCCTCCACTTAATCTTGATAGTTCTGAGCTCAGTGAAAAGCTTCGTGCTATTAACTCTCAACTCTCTAAAATCAAGAACCTTCTCACAACTACTCAGTCTACTGTTGGTGACATTCATGTTATTTCCAAAGAAACAGGGTCTGACGTGTCCAAAATTAGAGTTGTTATTCTCAGAGTGAGGGAGAATGCTGTCAAAGCTTTCAGGGAGATTCATGACAGGTTGGATGGTGTGAGCATCTCTGCGAATGCAAGCTTCGAATAGTTAAAGGAGGCCATCTGCAACATCCTTACCTATTTCCTGCGCCGCTAGTGTGGTTGTTTTAAGACAATTTGTTTTCTGTTGGTTTTGGGCTGTGTTTTCAGCCTTTGGATGACTTTTATTTTTTTGCTGTAATGCTTTTGTGGGCTGTCTTCCCAGCAGTTAGATATTCACTTTACCTCCTTAGTTTTAATGCTATCTCTTTAGTTCTCGTCTTATTCCCTCTTTGCTGATGACAAAAAGGGGGAGAAAATCTATATTGTCCAGGTAGCATATGTATTTTTACAGGTACAACGGAGAAGTCGAATTGGTCACAGTCTAGTCGACTGCATCCATTGAGGGGGAGTATCATGGACCAGTCAAGTCAACTGCATACATTAAGGGGGAGTAAAACATAGGAAAGTCGACTGGTGTTTACTTCTTTTTATTACTATATTATTTTGCCATCATCAAAAAGGGAGAGATTGCTAGATCCAGTTGTAATGATGCAAATAATATACATGTGCAGAAAATGAATTACAAGAAGTCAAGAAGATACCACAAGAATGCTGGAGTCAATCATGATGAATAAGAGAAGAAATCAATTAGCAAAGGTTACCATACAATCAGCAAATCTGGACAACTAAGGAAAGGAATCACAAATCTGGACGAAATCCAATCAGCAAATCAATCAACAAAGAGCAACGTTGGAGAGAATCAAGCAAGCCTTAAGTTAAGGCACAATTCAGGGGCAGCATCCCGGAAGATCGAAAGTTATGAGAAGATTGGTACACGACTAAGTTTGGAAAGACAAACAATCAAGGAGCAAGTCTTCACTCGTATCTCTGCTGAAGGAAGGAAATCACAGAGAAACAATGGCTTACTATCTTATTCTTGGAAAGAATCAATTTCTTTTCAAGGATCAAATCTCTTGGGTTGTAAAGCCTCTACCATCCATCAAAGTATTTATATCCCGCCTTAAACCCTAGTCTGATATACTTTGATCGAACCAAAATCACTCTCTTTATTCTACTGCAAACAAACATTGAAGTTCACTAAGATTTGCTGTGTAACAAGTCAGGGAAAGAAAGAGAGCATAACACTGGTGAGACATTGTATCAAAAACGAGTGCTAGAGAAATTGTGTGCAAATTCACTACAACTGTACTCGGAGAAACACATTTACTAAAAGAGAACTCCCTTGCAACCCAAGGGGACTGGACTAGGATTCACATTGAATCCGAACCAGTATAAAATCCCGGTGTCTTTAATTCCTGCATTTACTTTCTGCAATTTACTTTCTTTTACTATATCTGTTGAATTATCATATCTAATCGACTACTCAATAAATTAGTCAACTAATAAGCGATTAAGTTTAAATATTTACAATTCAATCCCCTCTTGTACTTTCAAAAATCAAATCCACTTTCTTCCTAGTAATTGTAATAAGAAACCTTCTTTAATAATTTGCCAAAAAATTCATCATTGAAATACAAAGAAGATTAATTGAGGATGCATTAAAATGGAAAACAGAACAAACTAAACCTCGTCGCATGCATGGCGGAAAATAGGAGGAATTAAACAACCATATGTATCTTTCATTCCATGCTTATGCTTTTACCTAACGTTCTGAATTTTCAACCAACCAAAATGCCATCTTCCACTTTTCAACCTATATATTAAACACTTATATCTCTTTTTTCTATTGAATTAAGCTTCAAATTTTCTTTTTTTGGATCAAGAAAAAACATATTGTGCTTTGACTTGGCTTTGGACTTTAAGACATTAGACAAATCTGCCTCTTGTTCTTAGAAGGAAATTAAAGGTAAAAAGAATGGTGTCCTTGTGTTTTAATAATGTTATGCTTGTTCAGGCGTTCATTTTCCTATTGGTGAAGGATTCTACTGCTCATACTGACCAAGGTACTATGTTTTTTCTTTTTTTCCACACTTCAATATGAATATTAAATTCTCTAACATAAGAAAGCATTTCCTTCTTGGGGATATTTAAGCTTCTGTCCCTCGTGTGCATGCCTTCTGCAGTTAACCCAATAATTGTTGCTGATCATGAAGCTGAAAATGGTTTAGCCATGGCAGGAATGAGATATCTGAGTGAGGAAAAGGTATTAAATGATTTTATTTTGTTTCCGTATGTGATGTTGAGTGGCCGCCACTAAGTTTAAGGGGAAAATGAGAACTTTTCAAACTTGTGGCCGTGAAATTCATGACATCTTTTGCTATAAAAGCATGTCATTAATTATAAAATAATTTTTTTAAATTATATCTAAATATAGAAATGTAACCATTTTTTGGAACAGACTAGAAACAAAAAAAAAAGTCCGGTGCACTAAGCTCCCGCTAGGTAAAAGGTCCGGGGAAGAGCCGGACCACAAGGGTTTATTATACATAGTCTTACCCTGCATTTCTGCAAGAGGCTGTTTGCACGGCTCGAACCTGTGGCCTCCTGATCACGTGCCAACAACTTTACCATTTACACCAAGGCATCCCTAAAAGTAATATCACATAAAATGTGAAATAGAGGGAGTAGTATGTCTTTAATCTCAAGAAGAAATTGTGTTATACTAAAAATGAGATTAGAAACAGTGACGGTTCTTGAAATCTCAGGAAGTTTTGGAAGGTGTACCAGCATATGTTGAAGTCACCAATGCAGGAATTAGAAAATTGTTGACAGATAGAAGGAATTACACGAGGAAAGACGTGAAGAAAGTTGAAGATATCGTGGTTAAGAAAAAATCAAAGAACTCAAGTGCAAGTGCAACTCATGACTTTGTTGGCAATTTATATCAGAAAGGGCAAGGAGAGTTAGAATTAATGGGAAGTAGCCATTCTGTGAAGATAAATAGAGGTAGTTTCATGGTTTTCAGTGCTGATTATCACATGACAAGACAACACCCCTCTAAGAATAACTAAGGCAGAGAAACTCTAGCTAGGAATAATTGGGAGGGG